CATGGAATAAAGACTGAAGCCTGCAGCAGCTGAATTTCCTGGCCATGGGAAGCTCTGTGTCCCTTGTGCACACAGTGAGCCCGAGGCTCAGCCCAACAGAGCCTTTGTGCTCTGTGCTGTGTCCCTGACTCTGCTGCAGCGTTGGGCACAGAGCAGCTGCAAAGAGCTGRGAGAGCACAGCAAGGGCTCCATTTCTGCTGCAATTACACAATCTGCTCTCCTGGGCTGGCCTCACCTTCCTGGGGTACTTGTAGGGTGCAGTCACCTTCTTGGCGTGCTCTTGCAGCTCTTGGGTTAATTTTTCTGGRTCGTGCGAYASAAAAGCAGCAGCCAAAACAATGAAGGCTTTGACCACCTGTGCCACAAAAAGAAAGGGATTCCATGAACTTCCAGAGGTGGGAATAAAGGGACACATTTGATGTGAAAAGTGAGGGTCAAAATTCAAAATGCCAAAATATGGAATTGTTCTTCAATTTCTCTTTTCATTGGCTGTTTGTTACTGAGTGCTGTGCAATGAAGGATCCATTCTGCAGCAGAGAGTGGTCTGCTATTTTCCACTTTTTTTCCTAACTTTTACACACCATTAAACTTTCAAAAAGCCCTAGTATAGAAAATAAAGAGAGAGAAAAATCTCATCCCAGTTACTCAAAGAAAAGTTGCAAAGTTGAAAAATATAAACCAAAAATTAAACACTACCAAGATGTCATTGGTACAGCGAACTAAGTGACAAAACAAGAAATAATCCAGATTTTCTCCCTTAGAATAAAAGATGGCACGATTACTCTTGTGAAAAGCCATTTTTTTCCCTCCACATCAAAATCTGCAAACAAAGAAATAATTCTGAATTTGTAAGGTGTATCAAGATACGGATTTAAAAATTTGAGCCCACTTGATTTCAAATATCTGCGACATTCAAATTCCAAGGAAGCCTAGCACAATAAGCAAATGGATACCCATAAGAAAAGCTTTTTTCCCCCATTTTTCCCCAGATCCTCCYTCACCTCTCCTCGCAGGGGGTCGGGGCTGCTGACCACAGCCACGTCTGCCACTGCCGGGTGCTGCAGCAGAGCACTCTCCACCTCGAAGGGGCCGATGCGGTACCTGCACAGAGGCCACAGCTCAGCTCCAGCCCTGCCCTGCTCTGTTCTGCTCTGGGGAATCCACGGGAATGACTTACCCTGAGGAGTTAATGATATCATCATCTCTGCCCACAAACCACACATAGCCCTGCTCATCCATGCTGCCTCTGTCCCCGGTCACGTAGAAATCCCCACGCACACAGGCAGCGCTTTTCTCTGGGTTGTCCTGCAAAGAAACAGAGATTTCAGGAMAAGGATCTGATTGTCAGTGACACATAATGATTGTTAGTGAAACATAAAGCATTTCCTTTGCAGTGGTGCTAAAAGTGATCAAAATAACTTTTTGTTCTCACAATAAATGTGTTCCATACTGTTTTATATTTGCACCAAATAGAGCCTGGGCAATCACATTATAACAGTTGTTGTTTGAGGATGCTACAAACATCAAACATTATTGGTGTTCAAAAGAGGATTAAAACCATAGGTAGGTCCCCAGAGCCTGTTGAGTGTGACAGTTCAGCTCAGGGGAGGACACCCTCAGCTTTGCCTCTGCTCCTGATTTCTTGAGCATGTCCTGAACCTCAGCAGCAGCACACGGTGCCCGTGCTCACAGTGCCCAAAGAACCCAGCTTGTCCTTGTGCCACCCTGTCCTTGTGTCCACCCTGTCCTTGTGCCCACCTTGTCCTTGTGCCCACCCTGTCCCTGTGCCCACCCTGTCCCTGTGCCATGGGCTGGGAGAGCCCTGCCTGGCTCTCTGGGCACACACACACTCACAGTGTCACACACACACCCACACAGTGTCACACACAGTGTCACACTCACCCTGTCCCACTCACCAGGTAGTGGGAGAAGAGGCAGAAGGGCCGTGTTGGCTGCACTCTCACAGCGATGGTGCCCTCTGCTCCTGGAGGCAGCACAGCCCCGTGCTCATCCACGATCTGCAGCAGGGACACCCAGGGCAGGGCTGCCATCAGCTCAGGGCACCTCTGCTCAGCCCAGGCAGGGCAGGGACAGCTCTGCCCACTGTGCCACCCATGGGTGCTGTACCTGCACATCGTACGGGGGAACAGCTCTGCCCAGAGAGCCCGGCTTGATCTGCATTCCCTTCASATTGGCACAGATCGGCACCTGCAGAACAAATTTTTTTCTTAAATGGTTGCAACATCTGGTAAATTTTATCTTTTTTTACATCAGGCACCTTTCCATGACTTTGTCATAACAAGGGCTGGACCAGGACCAAAGCACTGTGGTTCCAAAGAACAGCAGAGTCTGGGTTGTGAGCCCCTTCAATATTTTTCATTAAAACCTCAGACAGGTATAGCTATCCAGAGCAATAATCACTTTTASTTTTGATTTTGAAATTAAGATGGTGAAAGGTTCCACCACCAATAATTAATTTATTGCCAACGTACTGTTTCGGTCTGGCCATAACCTTCATGGATTTCCAGCCCTGTCTGCATTTTCCACTTGGCCCACACTTCAGGATGGAGTGCTTCCCCTCCAGTGACACAGTGCTTCAGACTCGGGAACTTGTACCTTGGGAGAAAAGGAAATGAAATGAAATAATTCCCTTAACTCCTAAAAGAGCAGCGAGTGGCCCTGACTGAACAGACTCCCTCGGCTTTCCAGAGATGTATCCCCAAAACTTCCCAATCTCCTTAGAACTGACGGCCACCATCCTGTCACACACCCATGGAGCTACCACTGCACATGATGTGCTTTATCTCTGTCACTAGAAAGAGGTTCTTCTGCAGGAATTGTGTGAGCAGAAGTGTTTCCTTGGGAGAGCAGACATGAACAGAGAAATCTGAACACGCACAAGACGGGTGTGGAAAGCTCCATCCTGTGCCAACATCCAAAATCAAATACAGCACAGGGAATTTTCGAGAGCAAAAGGAAGGGTGAGTGGGTACACAGAGCCTGAGCTCTGCTAAACCTGGGCTGATTTTTTCATGGTGAAAGATCCGTGTGACAGGAATAAATCCCCTCTCTCCCTGTACCTGCTGACATCGTGCTGCACCAGCATGCGGAAGGCGGTGGGAGCCGTGCAGAACGTGCTGATGGGATATCTGGAGAGAGTCTGCAAAAACAGCAATTGCTGTGCTGAGGAGGGAGGGGAATGGGAGCCTGAGCCTGTCAATGTGCAGCTGATGGACAAAAGAGGCCAATGTTGAGGGGAGTCCATCAGCTGAGTGCATTTGTGAAGTGCCTGAGGGCAGGAATAGGCACTCTGGCAGCTCACTGAAAATTCACAATAACAGAGCCTTAATTCAGGTTTATGTTCTGATTACTGACTCCAAAGCAGCTGGAAATCCATACTTGAAGTGAGCTTTAGGCTCAATACTGGACATCACAGTATAAAATGTTAAGCTTACCTCTGCAATGACTTCTGGTTTAAAYTGTGGCATATTGTGCACAAAGACACAGGAKCCACAGATCCATGGTGCAAAAACACTGCTCCAAGCTGCTTTTACCCAGCCAGTGTCAGAGGTGTTCCACATTATGTCTGAAGGAGTCAAGTYCATCCAACRCCTGATGAAAAAGCAGAGGTGAAAAAAAACAAAGCTGCAGAGAGAGTGAGAGACTGAGGCCCAGTGACAGCAGGGTGAGGAAAGGGCAGGAGGTTTCCATCTGGAGATGTTCATGGTGTCAGCAAGGGCGGCTCAGGAGGAAGTGTGAGAGGGTTGCAGAGTCTGATACATTCTCTTATTTCCCTTCATTCCCTCCTACTTAACATTTCCAGCAGTTATTTTTTCTCATGAGCAGTGCAAAACATCTTTGTCTTGAGTTGCAGTACCCGGATCCAGAGCAAAACCCAAACAGATTTTGTGGGGCAGGCTTTCCCCACCCGGTGCAGTGAGACACCAGCAAAGACACAGCTCATTTCTCAAGGGAACTAAACAAGAGCCCTCCCCAGACCCCTGGTGTCCAGCTTCCAGCTCTGAATGCTTTGGGAATGTATCCTTAACTTTCAGCATGAGGGGGAGACAAGATCCTACATGAAACACCTGCATTTCCTGGAGTTTTATGGTCTCTTGTTCAGTTGAATGGGATCCTGTCATGGATCAGGGAGGAGCTGCAGGGTCCCACCTGCCACTGACTGCAAATCCGATGCCGTAACTGCTGTGGGACTGCACCACCATCTTTGGGAAGCCCGTGGTTCCACTGGTGAAATAAATCAGCATCGGCTCCTCACTCCTNGGACATCACAGTATAAAATGTTAAGCTTACCTCTGCAATGACTTCTGGTTTAAACTGTGGCATATTGTGCACAAAGACACAGGAGCCACAGATCCATGGTGCAAAAACACTGCTCCAAGCTGCTTTTACCCAGCCAGTGTCAGAGGTGTTCCACATTATGTCTGAAGGAGTCAAGTYCATCCAACRCCTGATGAAAAAGCAGAGGTGAAAAAAAACAAAGCTGCAGAGAGAGTGAGAGACTGAGGCCCAGTGACAGCAGGGTGAGGAAAGGGCAGGAGGTTTCCATCTGGAGATGTTCATGGTGTCAGCAAGGGCGGCTCAGGAGGAAGTGTGAGAGGGTTGCAGAGTCTGATACATTCTCTTATTTCCCTTCATTCCCTCCTACTTAACATTTCCAGCAGTTATTTTTTCTCATGAGCAGTGCAAAACATCTTTGTCTTGAGTTGCAGTACCCGGATCCAGAGCAAAACCCAAACAGATTTTGTGGGGCAGGCTTTCCCCACCCGGTGCAGTGAGACACCAGCAAAGACACAGCTCATTTCTCAAGGGAACTAAACAAGAGCCCTCCCCAGACCCCTGGTGTCCAGCTTCCAGCTCTGAATGCTTTGGGAATGTATCCTTAACTTTCAGCATGAGGGGGAGACAAGATCCTACATGAAACACCTGCATTTCCTGGAGTTTTATGGTCTCTTGTTCAGTTGAATGGGATCCTGTCATGGATCAGGGAGGAGCTGCAGGGTCCCACCTGCCACTGACTGCAAATCCGATGCCGTAACTGCTGTGGGACTGCACCACCATCTTTGGGAAGCCCGTGGTTCCACTGGTGAAATAAATCAGCATYGGCTCCTCACTCCTSGTCCTGACGCATTCATGGTCAGCAGATGCAGCCCTTCAGGAGAAATGTTATATTCCAGTCAGTACATGCRGTTTTCCAGCAGRGAATCAGTATTYTTAGTGTTTAGGAAAGTTGTCCCAAATGAAATGATCTTATTAAATCAATATTTGTGTTATGTATCACAGGGAATTGTCAGAGAACACCCCAGAGGTGCTCTCTAAATCCCACAGGGCTCAGGAGAAGCTGAAGGAACAGAACTTTGCTCCCAATCCGGGGCTGGATGAACATGCAGAGTGTGATCAATGCAGAGGGGACAGAAGCATTCAAATGGACACTCATTTGTGTTTTACAAAGCAGCCAAGCCCGAGCAATGTCCCCTGAGGGCACAGCCCCTGCAGCTGGCGGCTGCTGGGGACAGAGGTGACACTCACGCCAGCAGCTCTGCGAGGTTCAGCCAGCCAGCCCTGCTCCCTGGGCCCAGCAGCAGTTTGCTTTTCAGGCAGGGGCTGCCAGGCAGGACAGCGTCCAGGGCAGCGGCCAGGGGGGCACTGCTGATCACACACTTGGCCTGCGACGCCTGCAGCCGGTACCAGAGGTCTTTGGCCGTTAACTGGGATGTCCCTGGAATCAGCACAATTCCTGGAAAAGAGCAAGAGGCAATGGAGAAACATCAGTGTTTCCCAAAAGCACTCGATGGTGTTSCTCTGTGGATGCTGAGCTGATCCATCAGGGATGTTTGGCAGWTGAAAAGCAGAGCCACAGAAGATCATTCAGTTCTGAACGAGTGCAATGCCAGCAGTCAGTGCATGGAGCTGCACCCTGGCAATGCAGCCTGAGCCTAAAGCTGGGAGTTCTTCCCTGTCCCTTCAGTCCCTGCCATGAGTGTGCCCAGCTCAGCTCTGGCCAGGGCTGCTGGCACTCACCTGCTCTCATGCAGGCCACACTCAGCAGCCACCACTCGGGGACACGGGGCAGGACTGCAATGGCTCTGTCTCCTCTGTGCAGCCCACAGAGCTGCGAGAGCACATTGGCTGCCTTCCTGGACAGCCAGGCCAGCTCCTCAAAGCTCCACTGCACCTCCTGTCCCTCGCCACTCACCCACCAGAAAGCTGGGCTGGCTGCTCTCCTGCCATCCTGCAACACGGGAGGAGAGGGAAAAGGAGACAGCAAAACTTAGAGCATTTCATTTCAATAGAAACCATCCCTGAAATTCATCTCTTACAGTGACACTCATATAGCTGATAAATGAAATAAAACGCAGCTTTCCACTCTGCAGCCAATAGTGCCCAGTGCCCATCAGGAAAACTGATTTGTGTCATCTGAGATTGTTCACTGTGTCCTGCTTCTGGCTGGGATGGAGTAAGCACTGCTTAGCAACAACTGAGTCAAGGAGTTTGCAGTTTCTGCCACCAAGGAGGTGCAGGAGAGGCTGGAGGGTCCCAGGACAGGTGACCCAAAGTGCCCAGAGGGACATTGCAGAGCACAGCAGGTGCTGCTCAGGTCACACACAGGGAGATTGCTCAGGGATGTTTGGGGATGGGATGGGCACTGATCTGTGGCACTCAGCTCCCAGTACTGTATCATTATAATTATGATCATTATCACATTTCAATTGTTAAACTGTTCTTACCTCAGCCCATGGGGTTTACCTTTATCCTCTCCTGATTGTCCTTCCCATCCCAGTGCCAGTGAGTGTGTGTGTGTTTGTGTGGGTGACATCCAGCACCTCTGTGCTTCTCATTCCAGCTGGGGTAAAGCTACAACTCAATGTTTGTGAAACAAAAGACAAATACTACCTTTTCCAGTCGTGCCCACTCGTCTAAGACATCACTYGCAAAGTTGAAATATTCTGGCAGTTCCTTTTCGCACCGGTTTATAGACTCATAATGGGAAATAATCTGAGATGTAAGAAGTCTGTTGTTTCCATGGAATGTTCTGGAAGGAGAYCTGAGRGTCTGCAAACACCGAGGAATCCAGGATTTAATAAATGTTCTCATGATAAATGATGTTTTATCTGTGAGCCAGGAAAAGAATCAGGTGTACTCCTAAGGAATCCGTCACCTGAAATGAAAGAAAATACATTTAAATCCTGCCAGTTATTGGTCACTGTCTGGTTTGTGATGCTGGATGAATTAATGCAAAGCAACTTGAACAAATAGGTTGTTTGTGCACATCCATGTTTTTCCCTATTATTTTATGTTCCTCTTTTTCTTGTAATGAGATTGAGCACTGCTTTTCATTAGAATATTTGTCCTCTACTTTGTCAGCTGGTGAAYGACTCTCATAGCTCATCTCTAAAATGCCACTTCCCCGTGCTTTTCTCAATATCTGTGTCTTGATTCCTGTAAATTTTATGTTTCTTTGCCCACTTACAGAAATAAAATGCCACTGCTTTTGAAACGTTTTAGGAGACKATCACCTTGACTTAGAATGGTGTCTGTAATTATGCTGTGCCTTAAATCTGCACTAGATGGCGAGTCACACTGAATTTATGCACCAATAAAACTGAAGAATCTCTGATTTGTATTCTTAGGAGTTCTGTTTTCTTTCAGGTCATGGGATAAACACAAAATAAGCAGCAGGTGAGCAAAGGTGAAATGCCAAAGACTTCCCTTTGCTTTGCACTTCAGCTCAAGTTTGCAGCTTAAGATCCATTTTGGAAAATGAACTTGCAAAGGAAGTGCCAACACTTCCAGTTCCTCCCTGCCTCACACACAGCGTTCAGGTACCTGTGGAAAAGACAGAATGGATGATGCCACAGGTACGTAAAGCCCAACCCTCAAAGGGAAGAAAACTGAATTTTCAGCCACAGAACCTTTGACCTGCAGCACTGAGAGATGCATTTTAACCTTTCTAACACGTTCCTTGAAGAGAAAGAGACCACAAAGTCAAATAGGAGACCCTTATCTTYCAGCTTTTCTTTCTCCTTTGGTACCTGATTGTCAAATCTGGATTTCTGTGTTCTCTTATCTTGCAGCAGCCTGAATACACAGCTCCTGATTTCATTGGGATCCTGTGGAGTGCTGACAGAACACACTCAAGGTGCATTGCAGCTCCAGCCTTTTGAGACCCATAGAAAAGGGAAACCCAGCCCAGGATGAAAACAGCTCAATCAGCAATGCCCCCAAAATCCTTCACCCACAGAGAATGGAGGACACCACATCAAACCCCACTGTGAACACTCCTTTTTGGATAAAAAGTCTGCTAAAGGCACAAAGACTGAAGCAGCCCTTGCTGCTCCTCAAGAAAAARAAGAAAAAGTCATTATTGGAGGATTTTCTTCTTGTTTCTACTAATCCAGACCCACCTGTTGTCAAGTCAGCTCTGTCCTCTGTGMCACTGAAACAACCACCAGAACACAGTTTTGGGGGTAAAGGTCACAAATTTCAGCACAGTTTAAGGGTCAAAGATGTTTCTGCTACAGCTACAGGCTGGCAGATATTTAAAGAAATAGTAATCCCTTAGTAAATTGAAGGAATTGCAGAATCTTAATATTTCTGTGAGATTTTTTAATATGTTCTGAAAAGATTGTCTGGGGAGTCGTCACAGTTCACATGCAGAGCTGACAGCTCTCCTAAGGTTGAATTGGTACATTCAGCCCTTCAGTTCATTGCACAGAAAATTGTGCTGCAAACCAATGGCAGAATCCTCTGGTTGGACCCCCAGGTGATATCCTGGTTGGACCCAGCAGGTGATATCCTGGTTGGACCCAGCAGGTGATATCCTGGTTGGATCCACAGCCTGGTATTTCAGCAGAGAGGGAGAACCTGTCCCAGCCCCTCCAGCTCTGCCTGCAGCCCTGACCAGAGGGGCTCTCCTTACAGAGGCCACTCTGAATCCTTTCTGCACWCAAGTGTTTCCTCCTCAGCTCCTTCCCCCTCTCCTTGGGGTGTTTATTTACAGAAACTGCAAACCAAACTTCCTCTGAGGTCCTTTTGTCCTCCCCAAACACTACTGAAGGCAGGGAAGTCCTTCACTCATTGAATTTGCCCATGGAAAGGTGCAGTTGGCCCCACTGGTGGCAGTCAGACTCTTATCAACCTTTTACCAGCAGGCATTTGAGCAGCAAACCCCACTGCTCAATGCTGCTTTGCCTCTTCCTTCCCCAGGGGCTGGAGAGAGGCAGCACAGGATGAAAACAAAGCCATTTTTCCCTCTGCTGCTGTCGTTTCTCACAGATCTCCTGGCAGCAGACACCATTGGCCCAAAYGAAGCAAAGCTAAAGAAAGCCAAGCTCCCCAAAATAAAAAAGGAGAACAATGTCCTCTTGCTGAGAACGAGCAACTTTGACAGAGCCCTGAAGGAAGCTGAGTACCTGCTGGTGGAGTTCTGTGAGTACCAATTTGCACTTGTGTTTCACAGCAGTGATGGGTAAAACATATTTAAAAAAAACCCCACAAAACAAAAATTAATCAGAAAGTGCTTTTCTCCCTCTTACATTTTCATCAGCACTTTGAATGAGGTTTTTTTGGATGTCGTGTCTACTCTTTTGTGCTTCAGGGATTGTCTTTGTACAATATTTTGGTGTCTGCAATTGCATTCTATTGTTCTTTCTCCCTGAAATGAGCTCTTGATTAGGTAGAAGAAGGTTTGTGGGCCTTCTTTTAGGTTAAAATTTTTAAACACTTCTGAAAGTGTTGAGATTTAGGGAAATTTAATTTGCTAATTACGGAGGATTTAAAGCTATTTGCCAAATTCAATCTGCAGTTCTGAACTGCTGAGAGTTTTATCTCTCTGAAGATGCAAAATTTTGGTGAAAAAATAATTYATTAGAAAAACCTCAGTCATTCTCTATTCTCATCTATGTAAGATATTTTTCAAAGCACAGGATCTAAGYTGTGAGGTCAGAAAAGGGTTTGTAGCCAAACCTGCTTGGTAAGATTATCAACCATGAGATATTGCAGCACATTCCAGGATTGCAACCTGATATGAATGGAAAACAGACGTGAAAAAATTCATGAAGAGACAGGAGATGAAGAAAGGATTGTTCAGAATTCTGCAGCTCAGGGATTTGGGCACTCAGAGCGAGTGGGGATCTAAATCAAGATTTCTTCCCCCTACCTGGGAGCAGAGTCTGATATCCCAACCCTCACAACAGCTTCCTCTGAAGGGAAGGACAAACACACTCTTCCATTTCATTGTTACTGCATCTCCCAGGAAATGCCAGACTGAAACCSTGCTCTGTCCACACCTCACTCCAGAGATCATCATTCTGTGTTTTGGGTGTGTCTGAAGGGTTTACTGGAGCTCCTGGATTCAGGGATTGCCTTTCCCCACAAAGCACAAACCAGCAGTCCCTGGGAAGGGTCATGGAATCACTCCCAAGGATTATGGAATCACTCCCAAGGATTATGGAATCACTCCCAAGGATTATGGAATCACTCCCAGGAGCAATGAGCAGCAGAGCACAGCTCCATTGTCTGGAGCCCATTGCCTCCATCTCAAACATTCCCAAAGGGAAATGTGTCACTGATCAGCTTTGGGATGGTGACACTGTGCTGCCCTGAGCTGTGGGAAGTCTGGTCCCACACTGCTGACTGAACTCATTCATTTGCTGCCATAATTTCATTGCACAGCCCGAGGAGACCAAAGATGGGACCTGCAGGAGAAGGCCTTAAAGCCCTAATCTTTTATATCCTGCTCCTTAAAACAATCTATCTAAATAAACAATCTGTGTTAACATGGAGCTATTGAGGGAACTTAGATAATGTGAGAGAAAATAAAATTGCCCAGATCAGCCAGGAAACCTGTGGGGATGCCAGGAATCAGCTTCAGAAATGCAGAATGAATGAGAGACCTGAGATCTTTTTCYTCCTGACTCATTAGCAATCACAGACACACAGAGAATGGGGAGGAATTGCAGGCTGCCAGAAGGTGGGATTGGGATTTCTTCTGGTGCTGTGCCAGAAAACAGAACAGTTTGAGCTACAAACTTTGATTCAACACTATGCCTTGACCACCYATCAATTAGGAGAAAACACCAAAGCTTTTACTGTTCCATAGCATTCTTTACTCACCGGTCCCACAGTGTTTTCAGGAAGGTTTGCTGTGCCCAGTGACCCCCAGTGCTCCCAAAGCTTTCAGTTCCTCCTCCCAGTGCCCCAGGGATGCCCTCCTTTRGGAAGGGTTTATTAATACCCATTGACTTTGGGCCAGGCAGGGCACGGATCCCTCTGAGCTGGGCAAAGTTCAGGGGGCAGGTTCAGTGAAAACAGAGCAGGGACCCAGAGAGCCCTCACTGCTCTCTGTGTTTGAGAGAGATCAAACATCCCCAGCAGTGGCTGAGCCCTGCCCATGCTGTACCCATCCTGTGCCCTGTCTGTGCCCATCCTATTCCCACCCTGTGCCCCTCCCAGCCATGTGGAACTGATCCCAATTTCTCTGTTCACAAATCCCTGTGAGCTCGGGCAGTTCAAGCCCTGCTCTCCTGGATGTGCTGCCTGCATGGGGCATTCTGTGTTTAACCTCTCACTGCCTGGCTGCCAGTCCCTGCCCTGATTTCACCGCAGAGAAAAGCAAACAAACAATCAAACARATACTGGAAAACRTCCCGAGCACTCCARCAAATGTGCCARCCCCAGAGAGAACAGACTTTGTACACTTTGGACACTGAAACACTGCTCTCAGAGCACATAAYACTTCCTACAGCCCAGCAGAGTTCAGGAAAAGACACAGATCCCAGTGAATGCTGGATTCCTCAGGTTTGTGAGGAATCTGCTGCTGTTCTTTCCAGTGAAAAGTTTTCAGTTCTGGACAAACATGGGGATAACCTGAGGACAAGCACACAAGGGGTGCAGATCTTGTGCTGTGCTCTGTGTGCTGAGCACACTGTCATTTATGGCAAGGTGATGTTTACCTTTCCCAGCAGAACATTTGTACATCCAGGGTCAGCCACACTGCTCCTGCAGCCTGGGACTGGCAGCATTGCTGAGATAATGACATTGAACAGGCAGAATGGGGGGCACTCTTGAACACAAACATCTCTTTTTTTTAAGGCACAAAAGCTGAAGTGATGTTATTTAAAAAAGAAAAAAAAAAATCAACCTTCAAAACACACTGCCAGCCTCTAAACACCACGCCCTGCTCCTCTCTTGCCCTCCTCCCTATTAATCTGGAAAAACACTTTCTGCATTACAGGAGCTTGCCCTAGTGAGGTGCTGACCAATTCTTATCACAGAGTCTGAATGTGAGTGAATGTGACTCCATCCTTGGCCCATCTGTAACTCATGCTCAGCACACTCAGCCCAGCTCCTTTCAATCTCCCAGCACTACTGAGATGCTGCTGATTGTTCACCACCACTGGTTCAAGGACACCTCGAGTGGTGAGCAACCAGCATCAATATAGACAAGTGAATATAATCTCCTTTATTTCTGAGCTATAAAAGATGTTATTGAAACCCTCCAGCTACCACTTGACACAACAACCTCCMCTAGACAGCCTCAGGCTGTGCTTATGTAACCCATCCGCTTCTCATTGSCCTTTTCCAGATGTTTCTTTAGCTCAGTCATCTCAGAATTTCTCTGAAGAATTTGCTGAGGCTGCACGACAGCTTAAAAAAGAAGCTCCAAGGATCCAGTTTGGCAAAATTGATGTGACACACCAGCACGACTTGAGAAAGGAATTTAACATTCAGGCCTTTCCTGCAGTGAAATTGTTTGTGAATGGCAGCAGGGAGGATCCYATAGACTGCAAAGGTAAACTGCCTCATGCACTGATAAGATAATGGGATGGAATGACAGGAGCACCCGTGTGCTGAGAGGGAAAATAGAGATGCTCAGATAAACAATACACAAGGTGGAAAGCTGGCTTTGCCCATGGTTTTAAATATGCAATTGCACCTCTACCAACACAGGAACTTTAACCTGAATTCATCTTCCCTACCAAAACACTGAAAATCTTCTCTCTGTTAAGYTCACACAGCCCAGTTCATTGCTGGTGTTATTCCACCGAGCACCGAGTCACCCCAACAAGACAATTCCTCCCAATTATCACAATAATCATTAATGATTAATGCAAAACAAGAATTGGGTCCCCAAGCTGCTGCATTTACCGTGTGGTCTCTGCAATTGCCATGGGCAGCATGGTTAAATGGAGCAGTGAACTGGGAATTCACAGGGTCCCTCACACACAGATCCTCTCCCTGGGCTCAGGACAAGAWTTGTGCCATTTAACCATCAGAGGGAGCTCAAATATGGCTTAGAATAAAACACGGAATAATTTGAAGCATTTTATAGAAAGTTATGAAGCAAAGACAAGGACAGGCTTGAGCAATCCCAGAAATCCAGGTCTTAGCAGAGATTTCTGTTCACTTACAGTATATACAAGAAAGGGTTTTTTTTTCCTAAAATGATGAACTTTTACAGAGATGATAAAAATTGCATCTTGACAATCATCTGTTAGTGWATTCTGAGCACACAGAAATGAGTCACAAGTTTAATACAACAAACAGARAAAGGATCCTAACGTTTGCCCCCTGAGCCCAAGTGTGAGATATCTTTAACTGCTGAGCCCCCTGTGGCTCCTCTGAAAGCTGATCTTCWGTATTTTTAGAACTTGCTCCTCCTTGCTATTGAATTTCGTGCCCAGTTCCCACCACCCAGMCTTGTGCAAACAGCACAAATGCCACTGAGGATGTGCTCAACTTTTATTAGAGACACAACACCTGAGAGCAAAGACCTGCCTTCAGTCTCCAGGGAATTCTACAGCACCGAAAGAAAACCTCTCTCAAACTGGTGAAACTGGTGGGTTTTGTGGTTGTAAAATCACCATTTAYGACTGCAAGGTCAGAATTTGGCCAGAATAACCACACAGGCTGGTTAAAGGAACTCAATAGGAAGATCAAGCACACAAAAAAGGTTCTTAGGGGCTGTGGCACTGACACGAGTGACAAGAGCTCAGTTGTGCATTTAGAGAGCAGGAGTTCAGCACTGTGTGGCCACAGGACACTGCTCTGGGCTTTGTTCTGCAGCAGGAACACTCCAGAGATAATGTCTGCCTGCTTCACTTAAAAAAAAAAATAGTATTTTAACCTGGTTGCAGTGCTGTCTGCTGCAAAATTGGTGGCAGTAAAATGGTCTGACTCAATTTGATCTTGTCAGACTGCTCAAATGCACAGTTCCAGGACTTAGAGCTCTGATAATCCGTTTGTACTGCACATCTGGACTGTAGCACTCAACTTTTCCTTTTTYATKCAKGGTTTTAATTAACCCTTACTCTGGYCCAGCAAGGCTGTCTGTCACACAGAGAGGAAAGGGCTGAGATTATAATCATCAGAGCCTCAATTTGTTGCCTCATGGTAGTTTGAAAATGTAATTTTTAAAGACACTCAATATTCTAAAATTCCTGAAATCGTAGGAGAATTTACCAAATAAAAAGACTAACATCTCAGTAACACTGGTAGTAGTAATTTGGAGCCCAAAAGATGGAACAATCCAGAAATAAACGACAACTTTGACACTTCAGCTTTGTTTCTTGTACCAAAACTGAAGTGATGCTATGGCCCCCAGAGGAATTTTAACATCTCTGTGCCTATCAGATCCCTCCTGCAGCACCAAAGGGACACTTCTGACACTTGATGGCATTGAACAAACAGTTCAATAAAATCTGCAGTTGCTTTGGAGCYGTTCTGGATTGAAGCTCAGGTCGATGGTTCTTTATAGCTGTGATTTTGGGACACGTGAAATCTGGCAGGACAGGATTTCTGCCTGCCTGAATTTCTTCATCTATATTCTTTATAAAAGATTAATCGTTTATCTGCACCTAAAACTGTTTGCAGAGCTGTCAGAAGGCACTGTACTGAGTCTCTGTTGGTCTTTAGAGTCCCAATAGTTTAATGGCTGAGTTTGGGTCCCTCAAGTCCCYTCCTAATCAGGTCTGACCTCAGTCCTAAGGAGCCCAGGTCATCCCTCTGCCCCCATCCTGACTGCACAGAGATTTCTCTCATTCATTTTGACTTCATTTTAACTCTCTTTTCCTTCCACAGGAGTCAGAAAAGCCTCAGCCTTTATCACATGGGTGAAAAGAAGAACAGGACCTAGCACGGTTTTAATCAACTCCACAGCTCAGGCTGAAGCCATCCTAAAAGCTGATGATCTGGCAGTGATTGGCTTCTTTAGGGTAATTTTCTGGAAAGCTCAAAAAGCTTAAAAAAAACTTTGGGATATGCTGCTGGCTATCACCACCAAATCATACACATCCAAAAGGCCCAGAACTCACCAGAAAAATGCAGACCCTCAGCTTTCCTACATTAAAAAAAAAAAAAGAAAAAAAAAGAAAAAAAGGTTTCTATCTATTTTTTTCCCACTTCTAGACAAGCAGCCCAGGTAGGAATAAGCACATCTCCCAGCACAGAACATTTTCCTAATTTGCACTGCCCTGGCTGCTCACAGCACTGCCCCACATCCCCAGGGAAAGGGTTTCAGCCAAACCACCCCAAATCTGCCTGGGGAAAAAGGCCAGATCTGCTGTCAGAGTCAGTAAAATAGGAAAAACTATACCTTTTCAATGGGCCCTTGAAATCTTTAATATCTGGACATTCAATCAAGAATTTTCTCTAACTAAAGACACTTTTATTCTGGTATCTCTCTGCCCAGTTAAAAGCAGTGTCTGGGCTCATACCTGAGCTGATAAACCCCAAATGTGCTACAGGACACCCTCCAAGTGTTGTGGGTATGGAAATCAGGATTCATTCCCCAAATGTCCCAGAGGAACAGAGCTGGTGAGCACATTGAGCAAACAGGACACGCTGTGACAGTGCTCTGTGCCCAGAACTGTGCTGGGCAGCAATCTGCTCCCCAGCAGGGAGGAAGGCAAATTTCCAGGGTGGGTAAAACAGAGAAATGCCTTCAATCCCTGYGATGCAGAGTTCCCTGAAGCACACTGGGAGCAGACACTGCCTGCAGATGGGTTTGACTGGACACTGATCTTGCTCAGGGCTGAAATGACAGCAGATGAGCACGAGCCAGGGCACATCAGAGATTTACTGGGTGAGAGCCAACAAAACAGTGTCCCAGCAAATAAAGAGCCAAATTTGGCCTTCTATTACTCACAGATTGCTCACAAACAYGAGAGTGCCAGGACGTGTTGGAAGGTCTCAGCACATAAATTACTGTTCAACCAGCATGAAATAATGGTCTGATAAATCAAATCTGGAAGGGCTGTTGTTTTTCCTCCTCCTTGTTTGCTGTGGGTGTGAGGGTGGGCAGTGTGTTGGACTGATGGAGAGTTGAGGGGCTGAAAAATGAGGAGCACTCAATAAATGTTCATTCTGGGAGCAGGAACCTGACAATGGCAGCGTGGAAACTTTCTGTGAGACAGCACAAGAGGTGCCAGAGATGCCCTTTGGGATGACAGCCAGCGAGGATGTCTGTGCCACCTTCGGCATCCAGAGGAACTCCCTGCTGGTGTTTGAGAAGGTAGGAGGGCAAAAGTCTGGCAGCTGAGGTGTGRTGGCACTGTGGGCTGTGCAAAGGCAGCTGGGGAATTGTTCATCTTAAGTARTTTCCTAATCCAAATTCAAACAGCTTCACACAAAAAAAAAAAATAATGCATTTACAGATGAGAGACAAGTAGGCAAAATCAGCAACCTTTAGACAAGTGATATTTTCAATCTGYYTRCCTACATTCASRCTCTTAATTTATGATTAAAGATCTGGATACAATAGCTCTACTTTCCAACCTTCATTCTAATCACCCTTCACTGCCAGGTTCAGTGAGATTTGCAAACATTCACCTCTTTTCTCGTGTGTTGCTTTGGACCAGGAATCTTCTTCCAGTCCACAGCAGAAGTGACCAACAMCAAACCCAAAACTGCACAGAGCAGCAGCAGTGTTTGGATTAGGAAACAGCCAGACCAAAGATTTCCTGAGCAAGAATCTCACAGAGAGTGTGGGCAGATGTAGGGAAGATCTCTCAGTATGTTATGATTACTGAACAAATTTAAACTGTCAGCTCTACCTTGAATTTCAGCCACAATCTTGTTCTGCAATCTAGCTGTGACATTCATTTTACAAGCTATGGACTTTCAGTAGCTGAGGATCATAAACCCTCACTTTTARAGCTGTCATTGTGCTCCTGTGGTTGATGAGGCCACAATCTCACAAACCTCACTCTCTGTCCAGGGAAAACCAGTGCACAGTGAAGTGCTGGAGGATGGGAGACAGAACAAACTGAGTCTAACCAGGCTGATCAAAACCTTCACCTTGGATTTGGTCACTGAATACAATCCTGAGGTATGTGCATTTCACTGCATCCACAAAAACTACAGAGAAAGACAGAAATCCACACAGAAAGGGACCGAGGGACCTATTCTGCAGCTCAGGGAGTGAGAACTTTGCTTGTTTGACAAGGCCACCCTTAAACACGTCTGGAAACACCAGCAGAACCCAGCCCTTGGTCTAAGCCAGGCCTAATGGTGCTTCCCTCAGCTGAGATGTTCTTTCTGGAGGAGATGAGGAGTGGCTGTGGAGCAGTGAGCTCTGAACACACTGACACCTCCCTGCTGTCCCTCCGAGGGTGGGAGGGTGAAGGTCAGWCCCTAATCCTGGCTCTAAACCCTCCACCCCAATGCCAGTCAGAGCTCTGGGCCAGGGCACCACAGGAACCTGCAGGAATTGGCACTAGGGTGGGAAGGGAAGGGAAAGGAAAGSCATGGAAATGCCTTCTTCTTACTTTATCTCCTTTAAAACAATGAAACAAAATCCAATGCTTATGGAAATTACTGAGTCCTAAAAAGTAAAATTTGCAATAGCAGAACCTAGGGATGCTCAGGASCTGAGCCTCTGATTCACTGCTCTGCCTACAAAGACTGGAACAGATGTTGAGTCTTTTGTTTCCCAGACATCTGTGAAGATTTTTGATGTCCCTGTTGAAAATCACGTCCTGCTGTTCACCCCGACGAACTCGGAGGCATTCAGTAAGATTTATGAAAACTACAGATCTGCTGCTGCAGAATTCAGAGGAAAGGTTTGTAACGCTGAACCCAGATTTGCAAACAGAAATGCCAAAAGATCAGTGGAAAACCATTCACCARCATTTCTGATAGAAGCACACTGCTGCCAGTCCATCTTCTAATTCTACCAAACCATTTAAAAACTGTTTCAGTAACTATTATTTGAATTCATTAAGGACAAGCTGAAAGCTATTCCTGCCCCAGGTACACTGAAGGATGGTAACTCATCTCATAATGAAATATCACACTTTGGTAAATACACATGGATGTTCAGCTCTCCTGTGCTGTTGTGGAGATGAGCAATGAGCACTTTGAGGGGGAATTTTAAAGAGTTACTAAAAGATGTGATAGCAAAGCACTGTGAAAGGACWGAGGGAAAAGCTTCAGCACTTACAGCAGCTTTAGCATTTGTTATTAACTCAGATCAAGGTATGATAAAATCCACAGAGCTGTTGGGTCTTGGTCTGAGGCCCAAAGGGGTTCTAGAGAGTTCCTTTCATTTAAGGTTAGGCCCTACCCCCTGTCAAACTCCWCAGCCCATTTCTCTAAAATGAATAAACCAAAACTGGAAGACCCAGCCCGGTGCATGATTCTGTCTGTGCCCTCAGATGTTGTTTGTTTTGGTGGATACCGATGAAGTGAGGAACGGACGGATTTTTGAGTATTTTCGCATCAGAGACATTGATGTTCCTGCTGTGAGAATCCTGAACCTGCCCAGCGATGCCAGGTACAAAATGCCAGCRGATGAGGTGACTCTGGAGAACCTCAGAGCATTCTGCCAGAGCTTCCTCGATGGGAAAGCAAAGGTAAGTCCATTGCTAGTGAGGAACACCCAGCACAGCACTGAGCAATGAATCTGCAGAGAAGGGACAGAGGCTGGGACTCGTGATGGCTGARCAGGATRCAGTGATGYAAAAGGGTTATATATGRTGCAAAAGGGTTATATATGRTGCAAAAGGGYTATATATGGTGCAAAAGGGYTATCAGACAGTAACTGCACACTAGGCAATGTCCCATCAGCCTCACAGTTTCTCAACATTCCCTGCACTTTCACAGCAATGTTTCTCTTTCTGCTCAGCAACATCTGCCAAGTGAAGAAATTCCAGAAGACTGGGACAAGATGCCTGTCAAAGTGCTTGTTGGGAAGAATTTCCACAGCATCGTCTTCAACAAGACCATGACTGTGTTTGTTATGTTTTGTAAGTTTTGTCRTTAAATTCAGATTTTAAGCAGCTTTAACATGATCAATTGGAAGGAAGAAATGAAAGCTTATACTTATATACCAAACTAATCTCTGCACCTTACAGAGCCTGAGCTCAACAAACTTTTATTKTTTGTGGAAAGAATTGAAGAAAAATATGTGTCATATCTATGGAAACGCTGTGATACCTTTGCTGACTTAGTGTTCACTGGGTAGCACTGGATCCCTCAGTAAATATTTGTCAAGGCCATATCAAATCTCGTGTTGAAAGAGCCCTGGAAGGTGGTGCTGTACCCTGAAGGTGCAGAGCATGAACCAGGTTGTGCTCAAGGGCAGAGTGACCACAAACCCCAAACCCTGAGAATTGAGGGGCTGCACAGCTCCCTGTGACTGCACCCCACATTCTCTCCTTCTCATCTGATTTGTACATTTGCAGATGCCCCCTGGTCCCACGAGTGCAGARAGCTCCTGCAGATCTGGGACAAGCTGGCAGAGCAATATCAGAGTCACCAGGACATCATGATAGCCAAGATCGATGTCACAGCAAACGATCTCCAGTCTGTGGGCGTGGAGCGCTATCCCTTCTTCACCCTGTTCCCTGCTGGGCTGGGTTATCAGGTGAGAGAGGGGACAATG